GATTTTTTATAAGAGATTTGTATATATTTAGCTAATATTACACCTATTCTAGAAAACTCGAAGTTGGTGTGTGATTAATTTTGATTTCTGTAATACAGCAGCGAAATTTTGTGCAAAACGCTATAACTGTGAAAATACATGCTCCCATTCTGTGATTGCAAAATTTCCATCGATTGTGTTTCCATTTCCGTCAAAGATACCCACGGTTTCGCCGTTGCTAACGTGAGGCAAGCCGTCGATTACAGGACCCGAGTTGACCGGTGGGTTGGACGGCACGCCCAGATCTGCTACTGCAAGCTGTTGCAGCAGGTCTTTCATGGAATATGAAGTGCGAGGACGGTCAAAATCATGCTGCTCCAGTAGAGGCAAAAGATCTTCGAGCATGGCAGAACCTTTGGCGGCATGGACAGCCACAACTGCATGCTTCTTCAACTCGACAGAAGCCTGTCTCAATAGACCGATGATGTGGTTTCGGGAGTCACCACGATAATCGTGAGAATTGGCAAGCATATCCAGCGATATGTAAACAGAGGCGGCGACTGTTGCTGCTGATACGACCCACACTAGCCTATATACTCTCGGGACCGGCTTCGCATAGTGATCCAAGATGCGGTTCGCCGATTCAAGGGCAAGTTGCCTGTAATTCATACTGTCATCTCTGGATTCTTGTGGGTTGAGTACACGGGCGATGGATAATAGGAGGAAGTCGAGAACGTAAGCAATTAGGTATCGCTGGAATGAAATCCAAGGATACTCAGATTCCCATATTACATCATCTTCGTTGGCAGGGAAACCTGGTGATAGATGGAGGGGTAGATCTCGCCGGACGGCAGTGATCTCCTCGATAGCCTTTACAAATTTCAGGTGAGTCTGGTGAGTATTTGCTTTGATGTAAATGTATACTATGTAGGAAAGACGGCACAAGATTGAGTGGTAATGTGCAGGAGAAGGAGGCTCTAAATTGGTAGATTCAGAAGAACCAGGGCTACCAATCGTGTAGAAGCTAGGCATAAAGTATTCCCCGTGGCTGCTTGTAGTAGAAGGCTGACAGCAAAAGCTGGCGGGTGATATGGATGGCGGTCGAACCCAACTCCCAAGCCTGTACAGTATTTTTTAGTGACATGGTACGTGATAATGGGCATTCCACGGTAGTTTAGCACTTACCAGTCCCGAATGACACAGGTCCACCACAGACGACGACCCAATTCGCGCTGCACAGGTGAGGACCATTCTGGCCTTCGGCAAACGTCCTTTGAGCAGTTTGCTTCGTTGCCAAGCTTGTGCATGTCGAAAAGCCTTGCCATACTTGTTGCAAAGCTGGAAATGAGCCATTCCCTTTGGTGCTCGCCAAAGTTGGAGTGACATAGGCTCAGTACTACAAGGGCTTGTGCAGTGCAAAGTGACGGAGTACCGCTGAAGCTGTGTCCTGGTAGTTCTTTCAGTGCAGCCTCATACCAGAGATGAGAAGTATCGACAGCAACGGAAATAGGGTCAGCACGAGGCATGCCCAGCCGGGGCAGGTGGGCTGCACTCGGTACATCTTCTGGGTCGGAATAGAGGATGCCGACAGCCAGGACAGCGAAATAGAGAGCAACCCATGGCCGTTGTTCGGGCTTGATGCCGGTGCCAAGTTCTACATTTTTCCAAAAGTCGTGATGCTCGGCCAGGAAGTCGTTGGCGTTGACGGCGCAGTGTATCCAGCCAAGGGTTTGCAGGGAAAAGGTGACAATGCCAAGGCTAGCATCCCGACTCGGAAGAAGCAGAAATAGTGGATCAGCTGCGGGCTCGTAGAGACCATTGAGAATCGCTTTCTCGGCCCCGGCTCGGGCGGCTGCACCCACCCTGATACCGAGATCGAACTGCTCGAAGGCGGGAACTAGGTCCTCGAGTGTTGCTGCGGGCTGTGTGTAGTCGGTGGATTCGCTGGTGCGACTGTGGCCACATGGCTTGGACAGAGCAAGGGCCGTCTCGAGCTCGGCAATTTGCGCCTGGAGGGCATTGCGTTCACGGAGCAAGTCTTGCAGTTGAATGTCTGCTGGGCTGCCAGCGTCTTCGGCCGTGTAGACAGTCAACTGGCCCCTTACCCGGGCAATTGGTCGTTTGCACTCATGGGCAGCATTCCTGCGGATGCATGGCTGGCAGGGGCTCTTCTTGTCGCATTTGATTTTGCGGCGCCCGCACTCGATGCACGATCGTGACACGCGTTGCGAAGTCTTGATGGCGGGCTCACTCATTGGGCCGTGGATGTTATTGTCGATGTTGTGGTGGACTATAGTTGTTATGATGATCTTGACTGGAATGATAACGACGATGACACCGATGATGACGATGATTTGCTGACGAGACGAGCATGACTGAGGCTGAAGTTGGCTCCTACTGCTACTAATCCTCCGCTCGGGCTTCACTTCCCCGCGAAACAATTCCTCCCCTGCATAGACCCGCCCGTCCCCACACTCTAGACCCGCGCCCTCCACAATCCGTACGCGTACTTATTGGGCTGGGCGGTCCAGTTCGGGGGAGATGTCAAAGAGCACTCCTCTATCTTTCTCATCGAAAAAATGCCTTGGCCACGCCAGCAATGTCCACCCTCGGCATTTGGGCACTACAAATTGCGGACGACGCCATGTAGTTGACGCTCATCAACGCCCTCTCATCATGGCTGCTCACGACCCCAAGTCCGAGGCCAGCGCTCACATTGAAATTATTGATGCGCACAAAAAGGCTGCGAAACCCGTCGTGGGTACCGTCAAGCTCTTCGATGACGACGGCATCGTTCTCATCCCGACTCCGACCAGAGATCCCAATGGTGAGCCACAGCCAAGCGGATGTTCAATGGCGAAGCCAGTCTGACCTAGACTAGATCCTCTAAATCTTCCGACATGGCAAAAGTATCTCATCCTTGTCATAGTCGGCCTCTTCGCAGCGTCCGCCAACCTCATGGCAAGCGGAATCAGTGCCATTCTGCCTATAGTAAAAGCGTCATACCATGGAGATCCAAAGACAAGTGACCTCGCGACTTGGCCGGCATTCTTCATGGGTGTCGGAAACCTAATTGCGATCCCGGTTGCTCATGCTGTCGGGCGAAGGCCAGTGTACCTCATGTCGACAATTGTCTTGTCTTTCGGCTGCCTCTGGTGCGCATGCAGCGGCAGCTTGGCCTCGCATATTGCCGGGAGAGACATCATGTCCATCGCTGCAGGCCAAGCTGAAGCACTCTGTCCTATCATTGTGCAAGAGATTTTCTACTTGCACGAAAGAGGAAATGTGATTGCTTGGTTCTGCGCACTCCAGACGCTTGGTACGGCAGCGCTAATTGTTTCGAGCTCGTACCTTGCAAATGATCTTGGCTGGAGGTGGTGGTATGGCGTCTTTGGCTGCCTAAGTGGAGCTATCGCTGTTCTCAGTATCATCTTTGTTGCCGAAACAAAGTACGAGCGCACGCTGGAAGCACTGAGTGAGTCCTGGTCAGATTATCTGTTTTGGCTCAGTTGCTAACATTGCACAGCTGGCGAAGGTATCGATGAGGATGGAACGCTAGTTCCAGTGACGACAAACACTAAGCGTAAACTCGATACCATCAACTATGCTCCGCGTAGCTTTGTTCGAGACATGCTACCCTGGAAAGGCCATGCAAACTGGTCGGAAGCAATCACCTGCTGGAAGCAGATGATCCAGATCATCTGGTTTCCCAACATTCTTTGGCTGTCCTTGATCAACTCTGTGACTCTCGGCATCTATGTGCTCATGTCAGCACTATTTGCCGGTATCCTGGTACAGCCCCCATACCTGTGGAACTTTGATATGCTTGGCTACGTGTTCGCTGGACAAGTCGCTACTGCCGTCGCGGTTCCTTTCTTCTGCGGATACTTGAGCGACTTGGTAGTCAAAATTCTGAGCAAGAGGCATAACGGCGTCAGTCAACCCGAGTATCGTTATATTGCCCTCATCATCCCACTATTATCCACACTCATATCGACAATCATTTTCGGCATGACTGCGCAGAACCCCAAGGATTGGAGCTGGGCAGGTATCGCTGTTACACTCAACTTTGAGTACTTTGGCTTCGTTGGTGTCGTCGTATCCAGTTTCGTCTACTGCATGGATGCCTACCCTCAACGTATTGACGCAGCCCTTGTTCTCATCTGCTCTCTGAGAGGTTTCATCGGCTTCGGAATCTCATTTGGCACTGTCAGCTTTGTGGAGAAGGCCGGGTATGAAGGCGCATTTAATATCTGCGCAGGTATCGTGGCAGCCTCGATGGGTCTGGGTATTCCTATATACTTCTTTGGCTCAAAGATCCGTGCCATTACCCAAAAGTATGCTCAGGATGATTGAGTATTGTTCGGACGTTACCTAGGTGTGTTTGGCAAATTGTTAGTTTATAGCGTGACAAAGCAGGTGACTGGCATTGAGGAGCTGTTGTATATATATATGTATCTCTCTAAATAGAGTCATGAGAAATGAACTCCATATTTGAATAACCAAGGTTCTTCACGAAGTCAAACGGGGATGTTGCTTACCAATCTTAGACTAACTTTCCCCATCTTCCCCCGAGAAAGATCAACACGAGGCTGCTCTCTCTGTACACTAAAATTATTACCTCTAACGCGTTCCAAAATGGTTTCCCCCCACTACTCATAGTCAGCAGGGGAATATATGCTTCAGTTGTTACTTGTAACAGCGTGACGCAAGAACGCTGAAAGACTAATGGTGCTGCAAATTGTTACTAATGCGAAGCCACAAACTAAGAATATCACTATCATTCTACTACTATAGAGAAGTTTGCTACTACTCCTAAAGCGCCTCATTGGCAAAGCAATGATCTGAGCACTTGGTCATGCTATATGATTATTCAAAGCACGGCAATTGTGCACGTGCTGGGCCTAGAATCTGTTAGGCAAAGCAAAGTGGATATGGTATTAACAGGAATCCCCGGTGAATGCAGTTGCGAGGTGTTTCACAGATAGACACAAAGTATATCAGTCAAAGTAAATTGAGACGAATTCTCGAGGAGTTACCTTAGGTTCGGATGGGACTATAAGTATACTCGATGCACGTGACTATGGCCTCACTGGCCCCCAGTTCGGAGTATCGTGAAAACAGCGCAATGCTTGGCGTGCACTGCTTTGACGCTTTTACCGGTGTTGGCCTAGTGTCTTCCAGGCCAGTGCACGGCGAGTCAGACTAAAACACTGCTGCTGCTTTGATTCAGTGCAGAGTTTGAGTATTAGTGAGCGTGGATGCACCATGATATGGTCTTGCATCGATGCTATATACAGCAGCACTTAGGGAAAGCCGATGTTACCTGGTCTTGGCTGCGTTTGCTTGCCTGCCCTTGCCGCTCTGACCAGGCCACATCCTATGCAGGACGGGGCCGTGCCGCTGCCATGCCTGTAGCCTACCAGTCGGCATTGCGCTCGGATGATTGCGCATTACTCATGTACAGCTGGCCCCAAAGATGCGATTCGTCGCATAGCAGATGGATCAGCCAAAATAGTATCCTCTCTAACACTCTCTCCAGTTTATTGGCATGCCTTACGCAGTAATTATGGCTCGAGGCGACCAAGCATATCTCCTATATAGGCATACAGCACGAGGAAAGGCGCGAAGGAAGACGCGAAGGAAGACCTGAAGGAAGGCACGACGCGACATGACCTGATTTCTTCAGAGATAGTTGTATACATTCATCATTCATAATAATATGTACAGTCTTTGAGACGAGAATATATATATATATATAGGCATCAAGTCTTCGTGATTTTTTCACTACCAAGCAAATCTAACAGTATACCTTCAATCCATCTTTGCAAAACTCCCTCTCTTAATTCGCTATACGCAATCTACTCCACTATGCTTGTAAAGAACGTAATCCCCACTAGCCTTGCTACATTGGCTTTCTGCCTGCCGGCTATGGCTCTGCAGGACGCTGAATGCTACGCATCTACGTAAGTTGATAGCTATTTTCTTACTTATTGACCACCTTCTAATCTTTACGTAGACTTGTTTCTCTGAGACAGTATTCTATCTGGGCTGGGAATGTGAACGATATTCCAGGGATTTGCGGAGGACTCTGGGATAACCTGAAGCATTCTGGCGCATGCACACCTATCGCAACATACTGTGGAGGAGACCCGGCATCCCGCCTTTTGAACTGGAAATTCACCGCACCTATCTTTTGCAACTCAGGGCACGTAGAATCTGCTTGGTGGGAGGCTACGCGTAATCAATTTGGAGCAGTTCACTGCTAATAAAGGGGGCATGCCGTACTGCTGAACCACACTGGATCCAGACACAGCAGGTTACCGGTTGGCTACCTAAGATATTACACATACTATCATGTAGCATAGTCGCGCGTATCAATACAATAGGCATAAAATTGAATTTCCCTTTAGTCTGAACAAGAATCTTGCTCAGTCGACTTGAAGCATTTGCGCGATGAGATCTAGGGTACGTAGCCATTCAGGGCTCAACAGTGACGCGTACGCTCTACTCAACAAGAATTCTCAGAATCCCCGGGAATGCCTTGAGCGGTGAGCGGTGTGCATCCCAATACAGTGCATCACTCCCGTCGATGCACTACTCAGATATTATGAAATTAACAGAATTTGGCAGCAAGAGCGCAAGGCCAGTACAGATTCCTATGGAATCTTTTTAGTACTTGTCCAGTTTTTTGCTTTTTTTGCTTTGTCAAAGCTTCTCGCGCGACGTCAAGAATGGGGATCTGGGGGGCAGGTAGAGTAAGTCGGTAGTCGTGTTCTATCTGTGTGGCGGTGCCAAGCTAGGGTTGGGATATCGATACGTAACATCACGTGAGCCTTCTTGGAAAATTGGAAATTCGACCAAGTGCGCAACTCCTGGAACTCGAGTATTAAATACATTCAATTTTAATTTTCTAGCACATACGGCCATCGGCAAATATAATTAGGTGTTTTGAGATAATATCACGGCATTGTTTTTATGCACTCTAAAATTAGACATGATATTCTACGATATAGTACAAATATACTAGCCTACCACGAAATGTAAGCTAATATTTTAAATATACTACCTAATTATTACTATTTACGCCCTCCTTTTTCCAAAAATAACTATGTATTAACTAAATAGCACTACTACTATTAATAATCTTGCTCTAATTATAATGCGAA